ACTGCCCTGGTAGCCCAAGCAGGTGGGAGCAAACACTTTTGCTTGTCACTACTGGGCCTATCATAAGTCAGAGCTCAGTTCCAGCTCCTACCACGTGAGGGAGTTAAAACTACAACAGACTTTCATAAAGTACCCTCCAGAAGAACCAGAAATACACCTTTCAGCTATCTTTCACATTACTACCTTCCTGGGCTCTGACCTTGGTCCCATGGAAAATGCTGTTTTCACTGAATCCCACACTAATGCACCCCTCACATTTAAGCCCTTTCCAATCCTTGTTTTCAAACCACATGACACTTGAGGCAATCACCCCCCAGCCCACCTCCTATAAGTTTGTCACATCTACCCTGGACACAGTGTAAGTGTAAAGACAGGAGGACCACTTACACTTTGTGAAAACACTATCATCAAATTCCTCTGAGAAAGAACTGTCATGGAGACTAAAAGATGATTTCACAAACCATAACAAAATGAAAAAGGATCACAAACAGTACATTCTAAAATCACAGAGTACTCAATGCTCTAGATGATTATGTCTAGTATAAAACAAACCAATTTATAGGGTAAATTTCTGAAATAGAAAGGACAACTATATAGTAATACCATCAATCAGAGTTGGGAGTCTGGAGTAACTCACAGGAAAAACACAGATTTCAGCTGTTCATATCTCTGAAACATAATTTTTGTTGTTACGCACTTAGAATTTGTATCTGGGGCTGGGAGTACAGCTCCGTGGTAGAGTATATACTTGGCAAGGCCCTGGGCTCAATCCCTAGTGGGAAGAAGGAAGGAAGAAGGAGAGGAGGATTAGAATTTATAGGTTTCAGCCAATATCACATTAGTGTTTCAATAAACATTAAGTTTAAAATAAAAATACTTAACTTAGTTGCTTTTTATCAATCATAAGCCCACTCCTTTTATTAAATATCCTTTAAAATATAAACACCTCCAAATTTAGGGTTAAGCAAGAATTCTATAAGCAAAGAGACATAGCTTGCAGTTCACTGATCACATTTGCACTCTTCATTTATTTTTGGGGGGCAGTACTGGGGTTTGAACTCAGGCCCTCACGCTTACTAGGCAGGTGCTCTACCACTTGAGCCACTCCATCAGCTCCTCACTCTTATTTTTAAAAGAAATTCCGTGTCAATATTTTTAACAGTGCTATCAAGTTATAATTCACATACTATTCAAGTCACTCAAAATATAAAATTTAGTGGTTCTTAGTATCTCAAAATGTCTATTTCAAGGTGAAATGCTGTGACCAATGTAGAAATCATGAAACGCTCAGAAAAGACCAAAGGTTCACTGCCTAATGAAAACAATAAACTCTTAGTCAGTTATCCATAACTGATTTTTTTTTTGGTAATACTAGAGTTTGAATTTAGGGACTTGGACTTGCTAGGAAGGCACTCTACTGCTTGAGCCAGACCTGGCCCTTTTTACTTTTCAGTTATTTTTCAAATAGGATCTCATTTTATGCCCAGACTGGCCTGGACATCAATCCTCCTGTTTACGATGGGATGACAGGTGTGAGTGTCACCATGCTCAGCTATTGGTTGCAATAGTGTCTTGCGAATTTTTTGCCTGGGTTGGTGATCTTCCCAATCTCTAATTCCCAAGGAGTAGGCATGAACCACTGCACCCATTCCATAACTGGTTCTTTAAAGGACTGAGCTTTGTATGTATAAATATATATCTATAAAATGTATTACGTATCTTAATACATACATTTATAAAGTATATTTTGTCTATCTTTAAACATACAATGAAGGTACTATTAATCTGAAACAGAAGTATTACTAAAACTAAACCATACAGGCTGATGAATGCATACACTCTAACTTTAAATCTATTTTTTTATAATTTAAGCAAGAGCAAAACAAAAACAAAAAAACATGCCCTTTACTACTTACTTTCAGTAACCTTGGGCCACTATGTTCTAACTTATGAAACACTGAAACCACACAACCCAAAACAATACAAGTGTCAGCCCCTTCCTCTTGGTCACAGCCAGTGTGGGTGCAAACAAAAAACCCAGCAGCAGCTACATGCCACCTGCAGTTTCTCAAACCAGGAGTCACTCTTGGATATAAGCACTAAGGTAGCACTCACTGAAACCAAATTCTGGGTCCTCAATCAGCTACACTGATCTGTTACAAGTGCTCACAAAATTTTATGCAAGTATTAAATCAAGGATTAACACTAAGAGAAAAGGCAAATATTTGCCCTTTCTTTACATGAGACCACAATGCATTCTTTTATCTATTTTGTTCTTAGTCTATATGTATTACTTTTTGGCTACAGTTCAATTTCTCCTAAACTTCTCACAACGATGAGAAGAAAGCTGTTCCTAAAGAAAGTTTGATTACAATAGTACAGAAGAACGTATCCAAAGAAATTAACAATGCTCTCTCAATAATCCAAATATTTGAGAACTAAAAGAACTGTCAAAGTAGTGAAGCAATGCTGTACAGGTTTGGGTTTCTGTACACTTGGAGCCATAACATCAGCATTTATTGGCAATAGTACAAGCAATAAAGACACCTTAACCAAGTTCTAAATTTTTCAAATAAATAAAAATAGTAATGGATCACTGGCCTAACTCAGTCCTATATAAACTCTTCAAGAATATTCTTCACCCAGAGTATAATCTTACAGAGCCCTATTAACACAGTGCAGACGCTTCTACAACACAAAGCTCATTCCTCAGTTCATCAAGCTATCAGGACTTTTTCCCTGTTGGAAAAAAGTGGGAAAACGAGTAACAACACTTTACATTAAGGCTATAGGACCAAACTGCTACAGAATTACTGTATTTTAAGTGACATTTTTCATGCCCACAGTTTCAATTCAAGAACAGAACTTTTTTTTTCAAAGCATTAATATTCTTATATCATATCCATGTCCAGCTTGGATGCTTATTTTGCTAACTAAAAAGAAGAAAAGCTGTCAGTGAATATATCCAAAGATGGGGTTAGGAAGTTAGTATATTATTAGTTCATGTCTCATGATTCCACTCTACTATGAATTACAGTCATCATGACACCATGAAAATGTGCAGTCTTTAGGGTGTACAAACACATCTATTTTTGTGTGTGGTACAGGGATTGAACTCAGAGCCTCACTACTTGAGCTACATCCCCAGTCCTTTTTCTTTTTAGCTCGTTTTTCAGATAGGGTTTAACACTTTCTCTCAGCCTCAATCAAGATCTCCCTATCTCTGCCTCCCAAATAGCTGTAATTAAAGGTATGCATCAGCATATTTGGTCATACAAACACATCTTCTTCAAAGCAAAATACCAGCCCAATGTTCAAAACACCACAAACCAGTCAATCATAGTGGTACATGCCTATATTCCCACCACTTGGGAGGCTGAGGCAGGAAGACCAACCTGAGCTACATAGTGAGAACCTGCCTAAAACAAACACAAAACACAAAACAAAACAAAAGAAGCTCTGGGGCACTGAGGATTAGTTCGATAGAAGACTTGCCTATATGCTCCAGACCCTGGGCTCAATCTCTAGCACTGCAAGGATGAATAAAAAAAGAAGCCTTGGTTAATCACTTTTTATTCCATTATAGCTAGTTTAAGCCTTCCATTATGGCAGCAGTTGCATTTAACAGCTGTATTTTACAAAGATTCTTTTTTTACAAGTGAGTTTGATATTAACTAGTTGCTCAACACCCAAGTATCTCTGTAAGACCTGCAAATTTCAGCCTTACTTATGTTATTGTTTTGGTAATTTACCCACTAGCATTTTTAGCTATTTTCTGACAGCATTTAACTTAGTGTCATTTATCTGTGAGATGCCACTCTAAAGTACTTTTGCATTTCCGAAGTGCACCTCTGTTTTTGGTTTTTCTCACCTTGGTTACTCTAACTTCCTGTTTTCTAGCCTTGTTTTTTTCCTGCCACTAGCTAAAAGCTGTACCACACTATTACTTTCATTCTCCAAAGCACTATTGTCCCACATGTCCACTATATATGGGTAGAATTTTAAATTCCCAAAGTCCCTCACTATTATAATTCTAACTCCAATTGCTATTTGTCATTACAAAGTGGTATCTATCATGTTTCTCTTGGTTTCAGGCGCTCCTGCTTTCTAATGTTTGTTTGTTGGCCATGTGTGTCACACATTCCATGCCTTACTTCACAAGTGTCTCCTAGCTGGAAATGGGGCATTTCCAAGCTCTTTCCTCCACTGAGAGATTATCCTTCCGAAACTCACTGCCTAATGTGCACATCACTTTATCTTAAAATAAGAGCTATTTTCTGTAGTCTGAAACTGAGATGCCAACTCACGGCTAAGAAAGAATTAGAGAGTGGGGAGAAAAACATGATGAAGCCACATTAAGTCCTAGCTATAAAGAGGCGGAAAATTGCTCGAGGTAAATAATCGATGCTGTAACTCTTATTATTAGGCTTAACCCTTTCAAAACTTCCTGCCATATATTCACATTAGCTTTAGGGTGACACTACATAAAAATACCCAGCCTGACATCTAGTACTTGCAAAAAAACGAAATAAACACCTCTAATAATATTAGATCTTATTCTAATATCAGCAAATCCTCTGGGGACACTCACTGCTCAGCATGTCAAGAACAACCCAGAAGTGAGTGAGACTTCTCCCCCGCTGACTGTCACCAGCTCCCCATTCCCAAGGCCTGGGCACCGCTGGTGTGGCCAGTTAGGGAGGGCGCCGCGCTATTCACCTGTGAGCTTTTGCTCGCCAGGGCGGAGACTGAGGGGACACCTTGCTCTGGGCGGGGGTGGGCACCGGCGAGAACACCAGACTCAGGTTGAGGTAGGCACCTTAACGCAGCCCTGGCCCGGGCAGGCGATCAGGACCCCGCCCCCGGCCGGCTGACAGTGACGTGCACACCAACTTGAGCAGGTAGACCGCAGGGAGGGTGCTGACAGCGGAAAGAAGGAACACCTGGCTCGGCCGGGTGCGGCTGACCCGATTGGGCCGGAACCCGGGCGGCGCACTCACCCAGGCCGGCAGGTCGCAGGCGCGCACTCCAAGGCGCACGGTGCGCTCCTCGTCCTCCAACAGCGCCAGCGCGCGGCACAGGCGGCTGGTCTTGAGGCCGCGGCTCCGGCGGCACCATGCGAGCAGCCCGAGCGCCAGGACCACCCAGCTGAAGCTCAGCCCCAGGTAACCGAGCGCGTACACCGGCAGCAGCAGCGCGAAGCTGCGCGCCAGCTGCGCCAGCAACCCCGGTACGTCCACGCTGAGCGCGCCGCCGGGAGGCTCGGGCGCCGGGCGACTGCTGTCCCGGCCAGCGCCGGCCTCCGGGCTCTCGTCCCCGGCGCCGCTCATCGCCAGCCGCGACGTGCTGCCCTCTGGCCGAGGCGGGCGCGGCGCTCCCGCAGAACCCAGCCTGCTCAGCCCCGTGCGCCAGCGCCCCTCTGTGGGGGGGTGGCCAACCCCGCCCCTACACGCCCGCCTGCCCCGCCTGGGATGAGTGGTGCGTACGTCATCATGGCGCGCGGGCCTGGTTCCAGCACCAGCGCCCTTCCGGAGAAGGTTCGCACCGCCGGTCCTCAGGCGGCGACGTCATCACGCCAGGAGGCCGGCCCCGCCCCCGCGCCGGCCCCGCCCCCGCGCCAGCGCCCCTTCGAGGAGACTGTCGACACTGCCGGGGACGGGCGGAGCACGACGTCATCACGCCAGAACGACCCTACCCCTTTGGACAGGACGGCCGGCGACGCTGCCCGCCCACCCAATCCCCGCCCAAGGAAGGGTGGCGCGTGACGTCATTACGCCGGATCAGGCCTAATACCGCGCCAGCGCCGGGAGGAGACTGTACGCGCCGCTACTACCCAGTCGCCTCCGCCTAGGATGGACGGCTAGCTACGCCATCAGCCCAGACCGGCTCCGCCCCCAAGCCTTCTGAGGGGGTGCGGGGGGCCCCGCTTGAGTTTGGGCCGTCGCGACGTCATCACGGCGAGGTGGGGCTACAGCGGAGGCCAGGCGCGCTCCGAGGGCGGCAGGCGGTTGAGACGCTGGCCCCGGGCGTCATCCCATTAGGGGTGGGTAGGCGCGCGCGGGATGGCGGGCTCTGTGGGTGGGCGCGGCCACGCGTTACTTGAGCCCCGGGCATCCGGCGGACGCAGCCCGTGTCGTGCCGAGGCTGGGGCGTTGGGATGGCCCCGGAGCCGCGCAGAGGTCAGCGCAGGCAACCCGGGACGCCCCCTGCCTGAGCCCGCGCGGGCGCGTGGGCCACCCGTGGGATGGCCGTCTCGCGGCCTCGCCGTGTGGTGACACCTCTGCCGCCTGTAACTTCCGGGACCGCTCCCCGTGAGCTTGGGAAAACACGGTTGTCAACCCCTTGAAACTTTCCAGTAAATGCAGTCACGGTGGTTACTGCGCAGTCTCCAGAAGCCAATCGTAGAGGACTTCCTACCAGTGTTTCTGCGCATACTCAGCGAGTCCAAGACACTTTTAGTTGGTTTCAGCAAAATAGGACATCCACACACGTGCAAAGGGGAGCGGTGGGTCCTAACCATTTCCCTACAACAGCAGGTTCAAGACTGGGTTTTAGAAACGTCGAAGAAAGTGAGTCCCTTGGTAACATCTGGCTTTTGCAGTCTGCCCTAAGGTGCAATCGCATCCTGTAATGTATATGAACACAAGCCACATAAAAAGTGTACTGTCTGCTCTCAAGAATTTGGTCTAGGTGTATACAATAGATTGAAGTGTCCACATGAACACCAATCTCTTGTTCTCATCCTTGTGCAGTTCCTAGGTTGTCCTTCCCCCACCCCCTAGTCTCCTGTAGCTTCATGTTCCTGCTGACTTTGCCGTGTACACAGTTCTCCGACTGCTTTTTTGGAAAAAATGTAAGTACACCAGTGAAGTTTAAGCCTTTTTCATTTCATAGAGAAATGCTGCCTTCTGCGCAAGTTCTACCCTTAATCTATTGAGATCCTCCTCTCCAAAGCCTCTGTTTTTTGTGGTAGAAAGTGGAGGTACACGCTACATCATTCCCTTCATGCTACCATGCTGGGATCCAGAGGACATTACCCCACAGTGAAGTCTTCAGAAGCCAAATTTCTCTCAGACCTCCTCTTCCTATTTTGCTTCCTCTTCTCCCCTCAAGACAAGTCATAGAAATAGAATTTTCCTTCCCCAAGGTGGCCTATAGGAACTAGAACATTTTCCCAAAGAAAGCCACAAATACTAGGAACGTTCCTCTGGCTGACCTTGTCTGATAAGAGCAAATGACCAGTTCCAGAAAGTGTACTGCTCCCCAGCCTGAGGGAAGAAATGCTGTACAAAGATGCTAAGAATCTGAATAGACGAGTTTTCCTGGGGATCTCCCCTCATTTGATCACAACTTTTTTTTATTCAATCACATTGCTACATAGCTATCCATGCCTCATGAACAGGGATAGTTTGTGTCTTGGGTCTTCATTCTGAAGGCTTCTGTGTCAGGTACAACTATGCTAAAGTAAGTGTGCTACCTTTTCTCTTGCTAATCTGACTTTGGGTATATGGTTGTTGGCCAGACCCTTTTTGATGGGGAGTAAACCGATCACTCCCTTTTTTGGCCCTTATGCCTGAAACCATAAGGACTCATGCTCCTGTCGTTCTGTGATGTTTCTTTGTAATGCAACCAAATATTCTTACAATATACATCCTGTCTGGGCCCTCCTGAGTGAATTTCTGTGCTGTGCAACCAGGAGAATGAGAAAAGGCCAGGCCCTTTCTTACCTGGCTTATTACAAACATCTCTGAGTGGTAACTCTTTAATCCTTGAGTCTTAAAAAGCTATTTAGAGGCCTCCCTTTCTAGAACAGAGGAGGCGCGACAAAGACAGCCGTTGACGAGGGGGGACCAGCAGCTGACTGAGGGAAGAGTCATTCTGCTTATGCAAATAAGTACTGAGGACAGTGAAAGCCAGATTTGCTGTTGGCACGGGGAGGAGAGCTGGGTGCCTGTGGCTCATGCCTATGATCCTCGCTCTCAGGAGGCAGAGATTAAGAGGGTCGAGGTTCAAAGCCAGCCTGGGCAGATAGTGCTCAAAACCCTATCTCAAAAAAACTCTTCACTAAAAAGAACTGGTGGAGTGGCTCAAGATGTAGGTCCTGAATTCAAACCCCAGTACTGCAAAAAAAAGGAAGGAAGACTAGAAAGAACAATGAGGTATTTAATTGGAATTGCAGGTACTGGTATGAAAGTCATGTTTTTATATATGTGTGTGTGTTTGGGTACAGATAGGTCTGAAAATCATTACATAAGTGTACTTGTGTGCACATATATGTAGGTGCATGTGCATATAACCATGCAGGAGTGAGCTATCAATGAAGCCCTCAAGACAGTGCCTGATGAGGAATAATACTGGAATACCTTGTATAAGAAACTAGCCACAACAAAAGGGAAAATGGAGACTTTCTAGGGAAAATACAACAGACACCAGCATGAGCAGAGATGGAAGTGTACATCATCAGTGGAAGACAGTTGAAATGCTGGGTTCTGATACGGTCCTGAGGGCTGGCCGACTGGCGGCAGGGAAATGGGACACCAAGAGCAGATTCATATCCAAAGGCTGAGCCCCGAGAACAAAGGGGCCTCACCTTATGTATCCTTCTTCCTACCTTATGTATCTCACTTCCTACAGAAGTAAGAAGCAACGTTTAACCCATATACAGTTACTTGTAATTTCATTGGCTACTTCATCCTCAGTGCTAGGTGAGTGTTTGCAGGTTCAGTTTCTTTAAGTTTCTGTTTCCTGCCATGTCTTCCCCTCCCCCACTACATAATTTCCCCCTTTGGTGCTCGGACCCACCTAGTGTCAAAGAGCATCATCCTGATTTAGGGGTTTGTATTTCTACAGCATCATTACATGGGCGGCTGTTTTCCTTTCTGTAGCAGCCTCCATAGTGGTCCTTATAGACCGCAATACCAAAGGAAACAGGCAGGGTAGTATCAAACATGTTGCCAAGACAAGAGCCACCACCCCTGTCAGGGTCTTGAATCCTCCCAAGGCAGAGAACCAACCTCCAAACAAGTCATTGGAATTCCATTCTCTCCAGGTCTGGACGGGGACATAGGCAATCTTCCTCATTCTGTCTGTGATTTCCTCTGTGACTTTCCCTTCATCATCAATTTGTAAACAGCAGTTACTTAGATTGAATTTTCCACATACACCTCCTTCGGAGGCAAGTAGATAGTCTAAAGCTAGGCAGTTTTGATATATTGCATTGCATAGCTTTGTGTGCTGCTTGGCCAGTATATCAAGGGCTCTTGCAGTTTCATTATTTTAATTTTGAATTCCACATGGAACTGAATAATGTGGTTGAGCATATAAATAGGGGTGTGAGAGCCCCAAGATCCATCTTCTGCCCAAGTGGCAGGACCATAATACTGAATGATTTGGTCAGGAGGTCACTCACTCACTCATATAGTTTCCAATTTGTAAGGTACCTCTTCTTTTTCTGCTTGCTCTTTCCTCATATATGGAAACTCCCAATTTTTCCCATTATGCAAGGGGGAGCAAAAAAAAAAAGGATGGCCAGATTGTGCCCAGTACACAGGACCTGAACCAACTGCTGGATAGCATCGTATAAGCTTACTTCCCACAGATCCAATATAGTCCCCTGGGCACCCGCCAATCTGTGTTTGCGGTGAGACTGCTCCAAGCTTCTTGGAGAGCAGAAAAGTTGGCCATCTGGTGCAGCTGTTGTTCATGTGGTTTGGGGCGCCTCACCGTTGGGTCTTTTGGGCTGTGCCATTGTAAAACTTCTGCCCTAAACAAGTTAAATCCCCTACCAGGGTGGAGAACTGGCCTTGTGGGTGGGAGATACAGTAATTCCCAATGGTAGAAGTTTTTAGGAGCCAGACACTTTTCCCGTGATTAGGGAAGGCTGTCTCACTAAAGGAATCCTGAGTGTCCAGTTCCTTAGCTTCCCATGGCCAATGGTCTCCCAGGTTGGTTCCCCCCACAAACATAACACAAGGCAACATTTAGTGTCTGGGCTATGGACTCACTAGTGAGAGGAACAGGTTTTTGGTCTTAATAGCGATAGGAAACTCACTTCGCACCTGCTCATAAAAAGAATGAAAGACTTGGTATGAGGAACTCTCATGGGTGATTATGATGAGCTTGAAGTATAGCAGGGTACCAGGGTCTGCACCCTTTCCATTTATTATTATACCTACCATTCGTCCCTGTTTCAAATCTGAGGGCTTAAGTATAGTAAAATTTATGGGATTACAGGTGCCAAGAGTACAGTTAGGGGTTGTCATCCCCTTGTGAAGGAGGGCTAAGTGTTATGCCATCTGCCAGGTAGTCCATGAGATACAACTCCAGTAAGGGCAATAATGCCAGTCCACATCATCACAGGTCCAGCCACCCTGTAACATATACTTATCATTTGACATATAGGCTCTCTCCCAGACTAGGCCTCCACATCCCCTG